AATCTTCACACAGCTGCCCAACGTCTCCTTTGTGCAGACATTACAAACGCTGAGAAAAACAGTTCTAGGTAGGGCTGTCGAGTTACTGATGTAATGAGGTATATATATGTATATACACTCACCTAAAGGATTATTAGGAACACCTGTTCAATTTCTCATTAATGCAATTATCTAATCAACCAATCACATGGCAGTTGCTTCAATGCATTTAGGGGTGTGGTCCTGGTCAAGACAATCTCCTGAACTCCAAACTGAATGTCAGAATGGGAAAGAAAGGTGATTTAAAGGGGTCATATAATGGTACATGCACTTTTACAAGTTGATTGTACTGAAATGTGTGTTGGCAGTGCCTGTACACAACCATCATATAATGATAAAAATCCATCCAGTGTTTTTGTTTTAATCTCCTTATATGTTTTCCCCTGCCTCAAATTGAGCCGTTCGTTTTTGTGACGTCAATAAAACAGACGCCCCTCCCGCGATTGTTGATTGACAGCTTGTGATTCAACACAGACCCGCCCTCGCTCGTCCTGTCAATCATAGTCAGCGCGGACCGGCGCGGTCATTGTTGATATGCTGGAGCACTGTCTATGAGCAGAATGGCGTCTAAGCGATTGTGGTGTTCTGTTCTTGGGTGCAATAACGAACACAGTCATTTTAATGTTCCTAAATCCGAACCGCTGAAGACGCAGTGGCTGAGTTTGTTTTCGAAGGGAATATTCCCCACGAGCAACGTCAATGCTCTCATGTTTGCGCGAATCATTTCACACACCAGACTGCTTTATAAACGAGGATCAGTATAAAGCTGGATTTGCTGAGAAGCTGCACCTGAATAAAGGATCGGAACCTATTCGTCTTCCTGCTGAACCTTCAGAAGAACTAAAGTGTGTAACGTTTTATTAATCTTTATATTAATATTTATATAATCTTTGCAAATCGCCAGCTGCACGCTTCACGATGAATGCGTCGGTTTACACTCAGGGTACATTACAGCATGTTTTCTATGTACAACGTTCTCAATATAATTCATAATCCCACGTTTATAATGAACAACGCGTAGTTATTGTGTTATTGTGTTACAAACGGTGTATGCGCAGAACAGAGAGGCGGAGTGAGCAAAGCTCATTATCATTTAAAGTCATATGCACTGAAACGGCGTGCTGAAAACAGAGCTGTTTTTGACCAGGTGAAATAAGTGTTTTCTTACAATACTAATGAGAATTTTTAATTAAAGTATATTACAAACTTTTAATTTAGACCCTAAAGAATCATATTAGCTTGTACAAAAATGGCATTATATGACCCCTTTAAGCAATTTTAAGCGTGGCATGGTTGTTGGTGCCAGACGGGCCGGTCTGAGTATTTCACAATCTGCTCAGTTACTGGGATTTTCACGCACAACCATTTCTAGGGTTTACAAAGAATGGTGTGAAAAGGGAAAAACATCCAGTATGCGGCAGTCCTGTGGGCGAAAATGCCTTGTTGATGCTAGAGGTCAGAGGAGAATGGGCCAACTGATTCAAGCTGATAGAAGAGCAACTTTGACTGAAATAACCACATGTTACAACCGAGGTATGCAGCAAAGCATTTGTGAAGCCACAACATGCACAACCTTGAGGCGGATGGGCTACAACAGCAGAAGACCCCACCGGGTACCACTCATCTCCACTACAAATAGGAAAAAGAGGCTACAATTTGCAAGAGCTCACCAAAATTGGACAGTTGAAGACTGGAAAAATGTTGCCTGGTCTGAAGAGTCTCGATTTCTGTTGAGACATTCAGATGGTAGAGTCAGAATTTGGCCTAAACAGAATGAGAACATGGATCCATCATGCCTTGTTACCACTGTGCAGGCTGGTGGTGGTGGTGTAATGGTGTGGGGGATGTTTTCTTGGCACACTTTAGGCCCCTTAGTGCCAATTGGGATTCGTTTAAATGCCACGGCCTACCTGAGCATTGTTTCTGACCATGTCCATCCCTTTATGGCCCCCATGTACCCATCCTCTGATGGCTACTTCCAGCAGGATAATGCACCATGTCACAAAGCTCGAATCATTTCAAATTGGTTTCTTGAACATGACAATGAGTTCCCTGTACTAAAATGGCCCCCACAGTCACCAGATCTCAACCCAATAGAGCATCTTTGGGATGTGGTGGAACGGGAGCTTCGTGCCCTGGATGTGCATCCCACAAATCTCCATCAACTGCAAGATGCTATCCTATCAATATGGGCCAACATTTCTAAAGAATGCTTTCAGCACCTTGTTGAATCAATGCTACGTAGAATTAAGGCAGTTCTGAAGGCGAAAGGGGGTCAAACACAGTATTAGTAGGGTGTTCCTAATAATCCTTTAGGTGAGTGTATATCATATTATGTATAACCCATCTATCATGGGTTTGCATACATAATATGAGATTTTATACACAGAAAAAAACAACCTACAAGGTTGAATATCTTAATATATATATATTTTCTTAAATAATTAATTATAATACATTTTTAAAAATGCATTTTTTTGTTATTTATAGGCCTGAGGGATGAAACAAGAGTGAAATTCAACAAGAAAAAGAGGGAAACGAAGCAGTAAGCCACTTTTGCTTGTGGATGAAAATGTTTGGATATAAAATAAAGAAATTAACAACATATCCAAGAGGCGATTTTGGGGTTTCTTAATAAAAAAATATATCGGTATAAGGTTTACTGTGGGTCATATTAGTAGGGTATAACAACTTAAATCAACCGTAAATATATTCACAAAATAAATGGGCAGCTGTTTCTTCAACAACACTACCACAAAATTAGCAAGTTTCACCAATATCAAAATATTTACAGATTTTAAGTTGTTGCTCTTGTGATAACGCGTCGTAGGTCACATGATAACGTCAACATGGCGGATGATGTCCGGATCGCATTCATGCTCGACGAGATTTGGCTATAAAGTACCTACTCTTTTAGCGCTCGTTAAGTAAGTACTTATTGAAATTTAGTACCTACTCATTGAGTATGCGGTTTCGGACGCAGCCAGGGGCAAACAAGCTTAACTAAGTAATGAGGAAACAAGATACACCTGGGAACAATCATGAACTAATCAACAGGAAAAACTACAAAGGACTACAAACACATGGCACAAAACAGGAAATAATAAAAGAACACACAAGACAAGGGGAACACAAGAGAGGAATCATGACAATATTAGTGACAAATTTGGGGAGACGATACATATTCCAAACTTTCTGAAAATACAGCATGAGAATTAACTGCACAATTACTATAAATGTTTACCTTGGATATTATACCATTTGTATGAATTACAAAATTTGTGGAAAAAGATAAAAAAAATTTCAAGATGTTTCCAACTCTAACAATTTTTCCTTTTTTTTTTTTTTTGTCCTCGCATTCTTTATTGTGGTTCCCTCTCAGTGACACACCTGACTGAAAGGCTCATTACGCAGCTCATTATGTGGGTCATTGTCTTCTCAGATGTGAACCACAGCCTTATTTATGATCATTCACGCCCCCACGCATATTGCCTTTTCAAACTAAAAGTGTCTTAAAAAATTTAAATCAATGAATTGTTTTATGTGAATGATTAGGCAGGATGATTTTCAGATAATTTTGAAGCAAAAACTCTAGGCGACAACATCCATTAGTCAAAAGTCTTGTGGACACATATTTAGTATGTGTTTTGTGGCCTTATTTCAGAAACTTTAATTTTTTGTTTTTTCAATAAGGGACTGTTCATTTTTTATTTAAGGGGCTACCGGAGGAGTTTTGAGATCTATAGTCAAAATAGACTTGACCCTCCCTTTGCCAGCAATAAATTTTTCTATGACCCTCAAAAATGATTGTAAAAAAAGGCATGACCCTCCCCTATAATTTACTGATTACTTCTGTACTTGGTTTTTCGCTTGGCAAAGATGTTCAAATATCTCTATGCCTAGTAGACCTACACCAAACGTTCATTAAAAAGGGTCCTGTACAGGGCTGTATATAGTGAGACATATATCTACGAAAAGGTTGGTCTGTGCGATGAATAAATGTACCACTGCAGCACGCCTGCGATACAGTTTTGTAAACTCCGTAAATTGTGTTTGTTTTCAGACATAACAGTCGTTTTATACTTGTGCTTAAGCGATATCTTGATTTTTGATCGTGAATGATTTAATGTCTCCACGTTCTGCTTTTGAAGAGATATGGTAGTATGGTATTGTATTTTATATTATAAAAAATAGTATTTTATAATATATTATTCAAATAGTATCTTTCGCATCTGATTTTTGCTGGGTCAGACCCATTTTCTAGCGATAGGGGGCCGAGACTGAGAGAGCTACATGGAAAAATATGCACCAAACAAGCCACTTTGAAATGTTGTTGTTTTCATGAATACAAAAGCTCATTGGGTGACCCTCCTCTTACATTAAAAAAGTTGGATGACCCTCCCCTCAACAAAGAATAAAAACACATGACCCTCCCCTATTTTCCTCTGGTGGTAGATTCCATAAATACCGAATGGTCCCCAACCATGCATAAACATTATTCTCTCAAAAACACAAACATGTACATACATGTTGCTCACATATTATGGTAGCCCTGTTTGTGCTAAATAGAGTGTAATTACACCTGTGCCATTAATATGTTTATAAGCAAATGAAAAAAGCACAAATGTCAGGGCATGTCAAAACATCTCAAGGAACCCAAAAACACCTTAGACCCCAGAGGGTTAAAAACGAGCCCTGCTCGTCGGGTGCCATGTTGTATTTATTTTCCCCTTAAATGACTAAGATTTCCATCACACATCTCCATAACCTTTACATACCAGAATATTTGATATTACCTTCAAGATTTGAGCGCTGTCCGCTGGTTTGAAATTCCCAAGAGGAGTCCAAGCCAAACTCAGTCTGGATCCCGGTGCTCTCAAAGCTCGATCGGACCTATTGTCCAGGTTCAGATAATAGGTTTTAGAAGAAAATCACTCTGAGACTTATGGAGAAGATTACGAATCACCACAATCGATGGTTTCGTTTTAATAACAAAGAACAGAATAAAAAATAAACATAAAAAAATACGAGTAGTCTTCACCACAAGGTTCGGCCTTAAACTGTTGAAGATCTCACAATGTATACCCTTCAGAGATCAGAGGGTTTCCCCCTAAGCACAAGCATTTTCATCATATATAAAAGGAAATACAGCATTTGGTAAGACAGATATACAGCAACAGTCAACTTAGGCCCTCTTGTTCCTAGAACCCTTCCCAGATGTTTTGCAATACTCGTTTCCCCATAACTGAGCTTTTTTCTGACTTCCTCATGCTGCGAGTCTTATAGCAACAGCTTTACCTTCACACTTCAAAATATATATATATATATATATATATATATATATAAGCAACATGGTATATCTAAAAAATACATTAATGGGTTAATAAAACAGCAAACAACATATTTACAAGGTAAATCTAAATAAAACTAAATCTAAATTGGTCAATGTAAGCCTTCTCATTAAATTATTTTTATTGTGTTTTATTTGTGACAAATTTGGGGAGAGGATACCAAAACTTTCTGAAAATACAGCATGAGAATTAACTGCACAATTACTATAAATGTTTACCTTGGATATTATATCATTTGTATGAATTACAAAATTTGTGGATTATTCGCTGAGTTTTGTTTCAGTTTAGAGACGTGCTCAAGGAAAAAAAAGTTCACGGATTTAGAGAGGCAGAAAGCACACTCTGTTTGTTTTCTTTATTTTACAAAAGCACAATGTTTTGTTTTGATGTGTTGGACACATACAAAAGTAGACATCTTACAGATTCTTTTTTCATATTTATTTTTTCTGTATGATCATAAATGATGAAGTAATTTAATTCTATTGGGCTACTATGTGAAGAAAATCCAGCAAAATGTGCTGGCGCGTTTGTTGACCCCAGAGGGTTAAACCCTCAGTCATTATATGTTCATTGTCTTGTTTTAATGTTTCCTGCTGGTGTTTATCCCTGGTGTTTGTTAAATATAAGTGTTCATCGTCTTTCTGCATCAAGCCTCTTATCTCGGATTATCTAGTCAAGCCAGCGTGTGACAGTCAGTGATTTATCATGCAGTTCAAAGTATTTTGGGTAGAATCTCTCTACAGTCTATTCTGATTCATCAACAAGTTTCATTGATGATTTAGAAAAAACCCTAAACCCAGGATAGAGCGGTTGAGTGAATGTGGTCTGGACTGTGTGTATGAGGCTCATTGTATCAGAGACGCTGTAGAAGGACAGAGTTCCTGCACTGGGATCCACATACACTCCTATTCTCCCGTGATCCACACACACTCCTGTTCTACGACTGATGGGCTTTACAGGGAGTTCAGTCTCTATGTCATTGTGTCTAATTGAGTATCTGGAGGAAGAGCAGAAAAAACTCCAGGACTGATCATTAAATCCAAACCGACACTTATTATACCGTCCCTTCCTGCTGATGCTCTTGTATGACACTGCTATACACACATACCCATGCCACTCAATCTCCCAGTAACAGCGTCCACACACACTCTCTCTACACAACACCTGAGACACATCATCAAATCTGTCTGGATGATCAGGATACGGCTGGACTATGCTAGTGTCAGTGAATTTAATCACTCTGTTCCTCTCAGACAGATGAAGGTTTTTATGTGCTGTGTTCAGATCCAGATTGAGCTGATGGGAATCTGATGGAGATAAAACATATCAGAATTAGGAATTATGAATCTGATCTTTTAATGTACACTGTAAAAAATATTTTTGGTGCTTGTTAAACAATTAAAATGAGTTAAAACCACTCAATTACTGAACATTTTGTCTTTACCTAATTGTATTGTGTAAAATCCACTTGATTATGTTAAACTGAAATTTACATAATCCATTTAAAATATCTGAATTATTAGTGTTGAATTAATTTAAACTGGGCAGTGGATTTTTAGTTCCCAGCATGCATAGCTTCATCGACGCAGTGTCTCATTCCCTGTTCTTAGGGAACAGAGGTTACAGTCGAAACCTAGACGTTCTCAGCATGCTTTGCTTAGGTCTTGACCAGGAGAGTAAATGTTGAAATTAATTGCTATTTTATGTGTTTTTGAGGGAAATGCCTGTTAGTGTTTAATGTTCAGTTATGTTTGACATGTAAAAGAGTTTCAGTTATGTCAGTTTTTGTTCAGAAGAGTGTTTGTGTTCAGGCTGTGAGAGGTGACATCAAAAACATCATGTGTCGCTTCACTCAAAGAGGAACAACTGCACTCATGCCAGCACTGAGACGAGTCTCTTCTTACTTGCTCATCCCGTATGTTACACACAATTACAATAAACATAAGAGTCTTTAGGATTTTATAGTTATTATCTAAATCAGGAACTTAAATCTATTTGGTTGGTTCAACAGAACATTATTTGTTTAAATTAACTTGTTTTAGTCTTGTTGTACAGACCTAAACTAATTGTGTGGAAAAGTTTATCTTAATTTAATTAAGTTCATTGAACAAACAATTTTTGAGTGTACAGAATAATTTCAAATGATGACATCTCAAAATTATTGTGTCTGTTAGATCTGAAAAAACAAAAACAAAACAGGTAATAAATGTTAGGGAACACTTTATTTTAAGGGTCCATAATCATGTGGGTAGTTAAGCATTTACACACAGTAGTTAATGATTAACTAAACGTATAGTAACGGAATATTAGCCATTTTGGTATCACTTTATTTTACAGTGTTCTTTTTTACATATGTTAAATGTTACATGTACTTATCATAGTAATACCAGTAAATTATGCATAATTCCATGCAATCCTACCCTAACCCTATAGTAAGTATATATTATTAATTAATATTACTCAGTACTTAAATGTATAATTACACTGTAACAATGACACCTTAAAATAAATTGTAATAGATTTAGTTCTAAAATAACTAAAACTACTAACAATGTCAAAAGAACAGGCAAAGGCATTAGATACAGCCCTTACTCATAATGAACTCCATAAAGCACTAGATAAAATGGCAAAAGAATGGAGATTATTTAAAACTTTGGACTAACCTATCGCTATCACTTATCGGTCGCATTGCAACAGTTAAATGAAAACTTTACCACAAGTCAACTATCTGTTCTCAATGCTTCCAAAAACACCCACCGAGAAATGGTTCAAATCACTTAATTCATTAACCTCTCGCTTCAGTTGAAAGAACAAAACACCTAAAATATCTCTGGAAAAATTACAAAAGACAGAGTCACAAGGCGGCATAGAAGCTCCAAATTTTCAATATTACTTTTTAGCAAACCAGCTACAATATTTATAGAAATGGATTCACAAAAACAATCATAATTGTTTATGGATAGAATTGGAACAAAATCAGTGCAAAAATACTTTAGTTTCAGACCTCACCTTCCTACCAAAATCAATTAAGAAAATGCTCTAATTTTCAGAATATTACAATTGCATCAACTTTGACAGCCTGGTGGAAAGTAAACAAAATTAATCTGATTCAACCCTGCTTTCCAACTATGCAATAAACCTGTCAATTTTCCATCATGGCAACAAAAAGGAATTACTCACATCCATTTTTTTTTTTTTAAATAACCAATTTGCATAATTGAAAACACTCACCCAGAGGTACAGTCTTGGGGGAGAACAGTTTCTCCAATATCAACAAATTAAATCCAAAGTTAAATCCAAGATCAACATAATCAAAATCCCACTTCATCCCTCTCGGTTAATGGAAGACATAATGAAAATCCAAACTACATAAACTTATATCAAATAATGATGCAACAATTTTAATACCCATGACCAAATGGGAAAAAGATTTAGCCTTCTCCCTCAACACCGACCTCTGGAAGGAAATCTGTAACAACACATTTTCAATGACTAACAAGTAAAGAAAGAAAGTAATTTTGCTAAACTGAAAATCCAAAAAGTGTATACATATCAATCACTGGACCAATCTTCTTACAGAATACATTACATTAGAAAAAATAACATACACCAACAAGAATATTATATCTACATCTACGAAGGAAGGTGTCTATGTCGGGAGGGTCTGTTGGTTGTGCTCACTGGCAGTTGTGGAGCGGCTTCCAGACCAAGAGAATAGTGTATATCTACAATAATTTTAAATGTATTAGTATTATTACTATTATTACTACTTGTCACGGGTGTGTTGTGGGCAGATGAAGAGGCTGAAGTCAAAGATCCAATTTCAATAAACTTTACTTTCAATATAACAAATACTCGCACGGATACAGATGGGCAGAAGGTTCCCACACACGTTAAGCACAAAGTAACATAAACAAGAACCGACAAAGACAGACTGAACAGAGAGAACTAAATACAGATACAAACGACCACTAACGAGGTGAGGACAGGTGACACAGATGATAACGATAAACAGGCTGGTAAGTGAGGGAGTGAGTTCAGGTGTGGAGACAAGGAGGATTCTGGGTAGTGTAGTGCAGACAAGGACAGACAGGTGCAGACGAGGACTGTGACATTACTCCCCCCGTCCCGGTAGGCGTGACTTCACGCCTTAGGACAGGGGTGGGAGGGTGGGCATCCTGGAGTCCGTGACGGGAAGGCGGACCGGGTGCAGGAGGACGGACTCCAGGATGGACCAGGCGGCCATGGCGGAGCAGGAAGTGGGCGTGGCCAGGGCGGAGCAGACGAACCCTCGGGCGTGGCCAGGGCGGAGCAGACGAACCCTCGGGCGTCCAGGGCGGAGCTGTTGGACCCTCGGGGGTCCAGGACGGTGAGGACCCTTCGGGTGGCCATGGCGGTGAGGACCCTTCGGGTGGCCATGGTGGTGACCTATGCCCCCCCCCCCCCCCCAAAAAAAATTCTTGGGGAGAGTGACTGGATGAGGGACAGGCTCTGGGACAGGCTGGGCAGACGTGACGTGAGCAGACCCAGGCTGGGCAGACGGGACGTGAACAGTCTCTGGCTGGGCAGACGGGACGTGAACAGTCTCTGGCTGGGCAGACGGGACGTGAACAGTCTCTGGCTGGGCAAGCGGTGAGGGCTCTTTGCTGGACGGGACCAGCGGCGAAGGTCCTGAGCTGGGCAGGACCAGTGGCGAAGAAGGCTTTGAGCTGGGCAGGACCAGCGGCGAAGAAGGCTTTGAGCTGGGCGGAACCAGCGGAGAAGTGGGCTTTGAGCTGGGCGGAACCAGCGGTGAAGAGGGCTTTGACCGGAGCGGAACCAGCGGTGAAGAGGGCTTTGAGCTGGGCGGAACCAGCGGTGAAGAGGGCTTTGAGCTGGGCGGAACCAGCGGTGAAGAGGGCTTTGAGCTGGGCAGAACCAGCGGCGAAGGAAGCTCTGGGCTGGACGGGACCAGCGGTGAAGGAAGCTCAGGGCTGGACGGGACCAGCGGCGAAGGAAGCTCAGGGCTGGACGGGACCAGCGGCGAAGGAAGCTCTGGGCTGGACGGGACCAGTGGCGAAGGAAGCTCAGGGCTGGGTTCATGGGCTGTAGATGTGTGTGCTGCCCACACACACAAAACAACCACAATGAGCGCCGTGTCTTCCAGAGCAGACTCAAATGCAGCATTCTCAGGCTGGACGGTCTCTGGCTGGACGGTCTCTGGCTGGACAGCTGTGAAGAGAGGAACCCATGGGGCTGGCTGTGTCCCGGATCTAGGTTCGACACTCTCCAGACACCGGATGACGGTCGCCCTCCAGTCTAGTCCGGTGGTGTCTGGAAGGTCCATGGGCTGGTTGAACGTAGCCCCGATCCGGAACAATGTGCACAGGGCCTCATCCCTCAAGTCACTGGTGACTGCAATGAGGCAAAGGGCCCGGGCAAAAGAAAAAAAGTTTTGGCTCTCCTGAGCCAGGACGATTATCTTGACCCCATCGTCCATCTTGGGGCGGTCGGTTCTTCTGTCACGGGTGTGTTGTGGGCAGATGAAGAGGCTGAAGTCAAAGATCCAATTTCAATAAACTTTACTTTCAATATAACAAATACTCGCACGGATACAGACGGGCAGAAGGTTCCCACACACGTTAAGCACAAAGTAACATAAACAAGAACCGACAAAGACAGCCTGAACAGAGAGAACTAAATACAGATACAAACGACCACTAACGAGGTGAGGACAGGTGACACAGATGATAACGATAAACAGGCTGGTAAGTGAGGGAGTGAGTTCAGGTGTGGAGACAAGGAGGATTCTGGGTAGTGTAGTGCAGACAAGGACAGACAGGTGCAGATGAGGACTGTGACACTACTATTATAAATTACTAATTTTACCACTACTCCTACTATTATTATCATGAATAGTATTGTTGTTACTACTACTACTACTACTATTATTATTATTGTTATTTTTATTAGTATGATTACTACTTCTACTACCTCTATTACTATTACTATGATTGTCTTAAATTGCCTCTATCTATATCTATATCACTAAAATATCCCATTGCTTAAACTTACCAATGTACGATACATCAACATCTGTGTATACTAAGTGATTTACATAATGTTATATTTCTGTGATATACCATCTATAAAGTAAACTGAACAATATGAATCATTATGTTTAATTAGTGTTGGTATAGGGATAGTTCCCCCTAAAATGAAAATGATGTCAGTAATTACTCACCCTCATGTTGTTCCAACCCCGTAAATTCATCTTCACAACACAAATTAAGATATTTTTGATTAAATCTGAGAGCTGTCTCTCTCC